GCGCCCTCTGGTGGTGGGAGCCGTTCACAGTTTCTTCTCCTTGAACAGCCTCTTCCAGGCCGGCATGATGTGCTGGTAGACCCTCTCTATCTGCAACACACACAGATTTCAGACGCCGGCCGGCCAATGGCGGCCAATGGTGGCATGTGTCCGGTTCCCCTGACCTCACCTGCTCAGACTTCTTCACCCCGTATCGGAGCAGCGTGGCCTGGTGCTCGCTGTTGTGGAACAGGATGTCGAAGGTCAGCTCCCGGCCCAGCAAGTCCTCGATGGCGGGCTTCACCACGGCGTGGAAGTCCCGGGGCGAGTGCGTGTCGTCCAGCATGTTGCTGACCTGGAGGCGGGGTCAGAGTAAGGGTCAGAGGCTCAGAGGCTCCGAAACAAACACACAAATTACCTTGTATTTCGGCCCCAGCAGCTCCAGGGGGTCCAGTTTGACCTCTGACCTCAGAGCTCTGCCAAACAGGGGGATCTTGGTGTCTGAATCTGGCAACGAATCAAAAATATGATTACAAATTAGGGTTGTCAAAAGTATCGATACTAAAATGTTGTATCCGGATACAATACTCATTTTCAAAAGTATTGATACTAGCTGACCTGCCGTCGCTGCCCCCCTTCTCTCAGATTTATTTATGTATTTTTTTAAGCTTGGGCTAATGGCTAATAATAACATGCTACCATTAATCAAGTACATATCCGACTCCGCCCACATCGAAGTCGGCCATTATAGTTACATTAACAATAGGAAGATTCCAGGCAAGAAAATCCTAATTGCCTCATGGTAATATAGAGATTCATTTAAAAATTGTGAAATTAATCTTTCAAACACTTAATTAAACTCTATACATATTATTATGTTAAAATAGTGTATATTAAATAGGTTTGTACAATAAGTCCAAACAAGTTTATCACAAAAATATTTATTTCTCACAATTATGAAGGGTGGAGGGTTAGGATTAGGGTTAGGGTTATTAATGCAGGCCACCAGTCACGATAACATCAGTAACAGGTCAGTTTGAAATGAAAGACACTAACCTGTCAAAATTCATTTAAATTTTGGGGTCTATTTTTTCATCCTTGTGGTATCGAAAATGGTATAGAGTATTTTCCTGAGTATCGGTATCGAGTTGAAAATTGTAGTATCGTGACAACCCTATTACAAATAGAACCAATGTCCAGCTCAGGATGATCTGTTCCTGAATCCTCGCACAATCCTCCAGGTGTTGTGGACTTTAAAGCAAAGTTTCCCTCTAAATTGGGATATTCAGATTAAAAACGCTTGATTGAGGGATTTCATTTAATAGGGGTTTTATACGAACCCCGACAGGTGAGATGAGCCACGTAGGGGACCCCGTCCCGCTCTCCATAGTACACCCCGAAGTGGGAGAAGTATTTGTTCCTGGGGTATTCCACGATGTCTCCCGGGAACAGCTTGGGGCGGGAACTTTTCTGGAAGGAGAACCAAATGTGAGCTGATGGGCTCAATGTTTTTCTGAGAAACACCCAGTTCTACTGGACCACAGGAAGAGGCCCAGCTTCTGATTTTAAGTTCAGTTAAACCACCAGAAATAAAACATTTAATACACTTTACAATGTATTGAAGTAGAACGTGACATTCTCTAACGTGCAAACATGCGTTATTCAGTTAAATACTCACAAATTTACATTTACAATCTAGATTAGAAGTTCCTGTCTTAAAAATGCTGAAATTCTATTGATTAAAACAGCTAAAACAACCTGAACCTGCAGCTACAGGGGAGTTAGCTGGCCTTAGAGAGCCTCTGTCTCTTTTTGTGGAAATTCTGAAGCAAAAGTCTGAGTCCGTTTAAGACAATAAGAGATCGAAAATGTATTAAAGGGAAAACAGCACGTGCCATGCAACGTATCAAGCTGCTCCAAAGTAAAACTAAATCATGGAGCATTTTATACCCGTCTGAGTCTGAAATGAGACGTAAAGTCTTATTGCCCTTCATTCTGCATCTGTATCAAACAATCCTCAAGAATTAGACGAAATATGATGAGGACTTCTCTTAGACCTTGAAAGAGGAAAGGACCTTTAAAATACTCAATTGTGGAAATTAACCAGAGTAAAATAGAAAAGAAATAGAATATAAAAGAAGAAAAGAAAATGCCAGAGAGAATAAAATAGAAAAGAAATAGAATAGAAAAGAAAATGATCATACATATATTGTTGTGGAAATTTACCAGAGAGAATAAAATAGAAAGAAAATAGAATATAAAAGAAGAAAATGCCAAAGAGAATAAAATAGAAAAGAAATAGAATAGTAAAGAAAATGACCATACATATATTGTTGTAGGAATTTATCAGAGAGAATACAATAGAAAAGAAACAACATATAATAGAAAAACAGAAAAAAATGCCCGAGAATAAAATGGAAAAGAAATAGAATAGAAAAGAAGAATAGAAAAGAAAGTGATCATACATATATTGTTGTGGAAATTTACCAGAGAGAATAAAATAGAAAAGAAATAGAATATATAAGAAGAAAAGAAAATGCCAGAGAGAATAAAATACAATAGAAAAGAAAATGATCATAAAAAGAAGAAAAGAAAATGCTAGAGAGAATAAAATACAATGGAAAAGAAAGTGATCATACACATATTGTTGTGGAAATTTACCAGAGAGAATAAAAGAAAAAAGAAATAGAATAGAAAATGCTAGAGAGAATAAAATAAACAGAAAAGAAGAATAGAAAAGAAAGTGATCATACACATATTGATTTCCCCTACAGTCTGTACTCACCTGGCCCATGAGTGCTTTCTGCTGGTGTCCTTTTGCCTCTGAGCGATAGTCCTCCTCCTCACACAGGAACCGTCTCATTTACATACGGCTTTAGCTCCTCGCTCCACTGATCACAGCTCCACCTTCACCTTCACCCCTCACCAGCATCCACATCCCTCCATCCACATCCATCCCTCCTGGACTCAGCCTCTGGGGTCTGCTTCCCTCCAGGAGCACTCTCTGTGGTCCGAGGCGTTTGTGGGGAGGTTTAGATGCGTTTAAATGAAGCTTTTTGCATTTAAACAGAGCAGAGGCCATGATTCCAGCTCTGGGGGGAGTCCTCCACCTCAGGGCGTGAGAGCAGGTGCTTCCTAAACAGAGCTGAAAGAGGAAGTGGCTCTGATGGCATCGTTTAGAAAAAACTCAGAGATAAGAAGACGATGTGAAACAGAGCA